GGCAGAGTGAGGTGTAGCCGTGGGCTCCGTAGGAACCCCAGGACTGGCTGGGTCAGACCTTTCCACTTTCCTCTTTCTTTCACCACGAACCCCGGGCCTCATTCATCCTCAGAGAGGGCACCTTGTCCTCACTTGCCAGAGCAGCAGGGGGACAGGAGGCGGCGGCGCTGGGAAGGTCAGGTGAAGGTCCTGCCTCCCCTTCGCGGTGGTGCCACGGGACCCCGCTCTCCGTCCGCAGCTGCCAGAGCTCTGCCGGCCCGACCTTGTTGAGGCCGTGACTGTGTCATCCGCTGGTGTGCCAGGTCACTCTGCACAGCACAGCTGCCGTGGGGTCTGTCCCCTCGACCTCAGGCCCTTCCGCTGAGCCCAGGCCCTCCACCCTCCAGCCCTGTTCTCGGGGCCCCTCTCCTGCTAGTGCACTGTGACTCCCCACTCCATTCTCCTGCGTCCCCCTAGCTTCGACTCTCAGGGAGGAGAGGTAGCGTGGCCGTCTTTGCCTCCGGAAGGCGCCTGGCTCCTTGTACGACTCAACCCAGCTTCTCCAGGGCTCCAAGAAGTCCCCAGGGCGGGAGAGCCTTTGCTGAAGCCCAGCGGCCCACGGCGCACGGGCAGCATTTTCCGGCTCCGTTTCACCGAACAGCATCTTAGTGCAGTTCGGGAGGCGTCGCAGGACAGGGCCCAGCCGGCCACACGGCCTCAGAAAGGCGGGCACTCATGTGTTTCATAATGGGCTGACATTCTCAGATGGCTTCTGGAGCAGCCGAGACCCAGATCAGAGGTGGGGATGGGGAAGCTCGAGTCGGGTGCAGAGGACACGGGGGTGCCAGGCCGGCTGTGGCGGGTACCGCCTGTCTGCCGAGACCGGGGATGCTGGCTGATGGGGGCCCCGCGAGTGAACCCCTGGTCACTGGGCTGCGTCTGCTTTCTCCCCAGTTTTGGAGGGCTCATCTTGAGCAAAACCATTTCTAAACAGCAGTACAAAGGCATGGCCATATTTGCTCCCATCATATGTGGTAAGTATTTGAGGGGGGCCCCCTGGGGCCCCTGGCCTGGGTTGGACCTGGACAGCAGTCTTCAGAGGCAGGTGGGCAGCCGACCTGCAGGGGCTGTGGGGCTGGGTTTGCTCAGCGGGAAGGAGGCCCGGGGGAGGAAGCCCCACACGCTGCTCTTAGCAGCTCAGACCTGGTTCCTCGTGGCATCGCCGAGACGAGAGCTCTCCTGACAGAACCAAATCCCACGTCTCGAAGGCCCCGAGTTGAACCCAGGCTTCGTTGGCGCCTGCTGACTGAATGTGGTCTTCAGAGCTGGGGCGTTGGGCTCTTGTGGTTTTTCTTTTCTTTTACATTCAGTGGTGACATAAAAACTCAGACGTTGACACGTAAAAATCTGGATGTCTGTCTGCTCCTTAAAAATTAAGACTCACAATACTGGGCTGAAGTCGATTCAGGGCCTGTGCGTTCCACTTTGCCGCAATGCCCAGCACGCCCTGTTGTCTCACACCCGACCCCCTTCACTTACCTCCTAGACTTAGACCCTGTGGGTGTTCGTGTTGACCCCTTACTTCTCTTTTAACCCAAGCTTGGCTTGGTGTCTGGTGTCTGACGAGGCTCTGTAAATGGAACTGGCCGGTTAGGAGAGGAACCAAACGTAAGCCGTTCCCCAGTTAGCTTAGTCCCCAGGGCCTGGCCTTCTGGCCCTGCAGAAACGGGCTTCAGACCGACGCCCTTAGGCAGCCCCTGCATGTCCACAGTTCCCCCTCCTCCCCCCATAGGGGGCCACACCTGCGCTTCTTGCATGTCGGGGGCCCCCCCAGCACGTCTGCACCCTGACCGAGTCCCACGGCGCGTCCCCACGCAAGTGAGGACGGCAGCAGACGGCTCGTGAGCTTGGGAGGGTCTCCTCGGGTGAATCACCAACTCGGGTGCCTCCAGCAGCCAAGCGGACAATTTGAACGGGTTAAGCAGGGAGGGCAGACAGTAAGGAACGGTGGGGAGTGGGGCGCCCTGCGGAGCACGTCGCTGATCTGAAGGGCGTGGAGTCTGCCCAGCTCCAGCCCAGTGTTGCCTGGCGGGAATGTAGACCCAGAGCTGCCAGAACCGGCTTGTTCAGGGAGGCCAGGAATCGGAGCCAGGGCCTAACCTGTAAACGCTACCAATTAGTTAAGGGCTTTTCCCCTGTTTTTCCTGTTTAAATCATGTCTGGGCCAAGCAAAACACACCTGCCGCCATCCTCTGGAGCCGCTGAGGTGGCGGGGCTCTGCCCCGGGGGTCACCGTGCACATCGGGCCCAGTTAGTCGTCCATGGCACTGAGGACAGAATGGGGGCAACCCCCACCTGTCAGCCCCCGCAGAAGAGGTGTCCAGCATGGCCTTTGTCAGCTGGGTCACCTGGTCCTGGCAGAGCGTGAAACCTTCTCCACACCCTGTGGAAACCGGGAGCCTCAGCGAGCAGCCCCAGAATTTCCGGCGCACAAACGTGCTCGTGGTTTCCTGGGCCTCCCGACTCTGCCTCTGTCGGTCCCGTGCTCTGCGTCCTGTCAGTCTGCGCACGGCCCCCAGCCCTCCCTGCGTGTCCCCTGTGGACGCCTGCTCTGTGCACGTGCCCAGGCATCCGTGAACGTGGGAGTCTGCACTGACCATCGGGGGCCCCAGGGGGACTCACGTGGCACCAACCTTGACATCGTGCAGCAGAAAATGTCTTTTCGTAAAAGCCCGCTGGCCACCCAGCATGAGAGGTGTCCGGGGCACTTCTCCTGGGACATACCTGCTTTGTCACCCTGTGATCATCTCTCTCCTCCCCTCTCCTCCCCTCTCCTCCCCACTCTTCCCCTCTGTTTTCTTTCCTCTCCTTCCCACCTTGAGGTGAAAAAAAAATCCCTTTCATTTTCTCAGATGGGCCAGTCCGAAGCCTACTTCCTGTCCCTCCCTGCGACCTGCGGTCAGCTCTTACCGGAGGGGCTGACCGTGCAGTTGGTGGAGCCGTCCACCTGTTCTCTCTCTTCCCTTGCCCCAGCTTCCTTCCCGAATTCCCTCCCTTGCCCCCTTCCCTCAAGCCAGCAGATACTACTGAGAACCTGCTTCGCCAGTCACCTTCCCTCACTGGAAGAGGTACCAGCTGTCAAGGTGATACAGTTTCTACTTTGACACCACACTCAGGAGGTCTGGGCCACCCTGACTCGGTGCCAGACAAGATCTGTGGTCAGTGGGAGGGAAGGAAAAGATACCAAGTGCTGAATCAACCAACAGAGGCTTCCTGGAGGAAGTGAACTTAAAATAAGGGATATAACTCAGAGACTGTCGTGGAGAAGGGGAAACCAGATCCTTTTTTCCTCAGGTGTTGGTGGCAATCTGGTGGCCATTCAGACCAGCCGCATCTCCACCTACCTGCACCTAGGGAGCACACCTGGGGTCCTGCCGTTCCGGATGAAAAAATTCTGGCCTAACCCTTGTTCCACTTTCTGCACATCAGGTGAGTCTGCTGTCTTCAGACCAGTAGAAATCGGTGTCGTTGGAAGGTGGCAGTGGATGCCTGGTACCTCAGCACAGATCACCTGCCAGGCCCCGGCTCCTCTTCCCGGACACCTGACTCCCCAGTCCCGCCTCTCATTCATTCATTCACTCAAATAATAATATTTATTGAATATCCGCCAGGCACTGGGTGTCACGTTGCAATGGGGAATTGGAGACGGCCGATTTCTCGCCCTCAGAACAGATAAGACAGACGAGCGCGTAGTTACACCTCATGTATGTTCCAAGCCGCCTTCTTTAGATCTTATCAATAGAAGTTGGATTATGGTATGTAGTGGTGTGGATTTCCTAGGGTTTATGCTATTTGGGGTTTGCTAAGCTCCTTGAATACATAGATTTATATCTTTTGCCAAATGTAGGAAATTTCAAGCCATTATTCATTGTTGGAATTCTTTCTCAGATCTCTTTCTCCTTTCCTTCTGATACTCTAATGACATGAATGTTAGACCTTTTGTTGCAGTCGCACAAGTCCCTGAGGTGCTGTTTAATTTTTCTTTCAGTCTTTTATTCTCTTTTTTCAGATTGGCTGATTTCTATCATCTTTTCTTCAAGTTGACTGATTCTTTCCTCTTCCCTCTCCATTCTGCTGTGCAGCCTGCTGAGCTGTTGGGTTTTGTTGTTGTTGTTATTGTATTTGTTTGGTTTTAAAATTTCCGCTTGGTTCTGCTTTCATCTTCTATTTTCTGAGACTTTCTATTTTTTTCATTTTTTTTCAAGACTTTGTCATTGCTTGTGGAAGCATTTTTATAATGTCTTCATGAAAATTGTTTTTGGGTAATTCTGACATCTGTGTCATCTCAGTGTGGTGTCCGTTGGTTATTTTTTCTCATGCAAGTAGAGAGTTTTCTGGCTTCTTGTATGGTGAATGATTTTAGATTAACTCTGGACACTTTGGGTATTATAAGACTTTGGATGTTACTTGAATCTGTTCTGGCTGGCCTCCTTCGGCTGCAGCGCTGGGGAAAGGGGATGCACTACTTACTGTCTCACCACCAGGCGTGGTGGGCGTCCAGGTCCCCACCCAGCCTCCCTGATGCCCAGGGGAAGAGGAGCCCCTTGTCACCGCTGGGCGGGGGGCTGTCGGCTTCCGTACTAGGCCTCTGTCGTCACCTAGGCTGGAAGGGGGAGCGCTGCCTTGTTTCTGCACCCACGTGGTTTCACTGACATAGTAGGGCCTCAGCACCACCGGGTGGGGATGAAAGTCCTGACTCTCAACTTAGCCTTCTCTGGCACCACCTCCAGCACGGGGGCCCTGGGCCACGTTCACGCCTGGACGCAGACGGGAGTCCGGGCCCTCCACTTGGCCTTTCCTGCTGGGAGTGAGGCTGCAGTTTTCCTGTGGTATTTCGCTGAAGTAGAGTGGTTATTGTCTAAAAGCTCTGTTCTGCTAGGCTGCGCCTTGCCTGAACCTTTGGCTAAAAAGAGCAGACTTCTGTGGAGTCTTTTTTCGTCCACTCCTGTTGGCATTTCTGGGTTCTCCGGTGCCCAGTCTGGAAACAAACAAACAATTC